TCCCGACGTGCGTGAGGAACTCGGCTGTGTCAGTGGTGAGGGAGGCAATTTTGCTCGGGGGATTTTTCGGGCCGATAATGGTGGCGGCGGCGGCTAACCAGAGGAAGGGGTTTGCGTCGTACGGCGTGTTTGGGGTGACGATTTTGGTGTGCGGGTTTTTTGTGGTTTGGCTGCCGGAGACTAAAGGGAGGGTGTGGTGTGATACTATGGAGGAGGAGGAAGAAGAGTGTGGTAAAAGAAATGAGTCTATTGTGACCTCACAATCGACTCGCGACTCATTTGATAAACGAACTGAGCTCGAGTTCATTTAGTACTTATTTAGTTAGCTCCAAAATAGATTTTTTTTTTAATATAATTTTCTGTAATTCGACTCGTTAAAGTTCAAGTTCAACTTTTTATTATTGATATACGAGTTGTTTTATAACGACGACTCATCAATTAGTTAACGAGCTCGGTTTGTCTCATCTCGGCTCATTTTTTATATCCCAAGTAATATAAAAGATTTGTGTCCGCCTATTGATTAGTGTCGAGTTATAACAGGATAACGAACGCGACATTTAAATTCCAATAAATATACATAATTTTACGCAATAACTTGGGACAAAAATATACAAATATGTTAAATTTCTCAAAATACAATGTACCATTTTCAACTGGGGTGAGAGTCACATGTTGACAATAAGACTTAATTAAGTGGAAGCTTGGGAGAAACAAGTCTGAATATAAATACTTGTTCAAGTGAATTCTGGATTAGCCCACATTTAAAATTTCACATGCAATTTTTGGGTTTTCCATAAATATTGACTTCTTTTGTCTGGATGCGCATAATAGAAAATAAAATTAGCAAAAGGAAAACGAGTAAAATGTAATTTTAGTACTGTATGTTTTACTATCCAAATTTTTCGTCCTCTTAGTATTGCGTTTTTTATTTTCGTCACGTATATTTGCAAAAAGTTACAAAAGGTCATTTTCGTAAAAAAAACATCATTTGTGTTACAAAAAAATGTTCTAATTTCGTCCCTAGCTTATGTATAAAAATGACCTTTTTATAACCCTTTTGCAAATATACGCAACGAAAATAAAAAATGTAATCCGAAAAGTATGAAAATGTTAGGGTAGTGAAACATATAGACCTAAAAATATTATAAAGAATAGTGGATTGAATTTTTTGTGAATAATTTAACGAGAACTCATTGTACAAAATATCTTTTTTTCCTTTTTATTATGTATAAAAGTCATGATGTGAGATAACAAACCTACCAAACATACAAGGCTAGTGTATATACTAATGTACCAATTAAACTTTTGGAAAATGTTACGGTCCCGTTATTGAACCATTTGTTGGATTTTTGTCGTACGAATCAATCGCACACGCAGCGGAATTTTAAAATTTTCTTACCAACAAGAAGATCCGGTTATAGCTATTCGATTTTGATCCTAGATCGCGAGAACTTACAGTTTAAGCTTTGTCTTCAACTATGGTATCCACGCAATCCAGATCCCGGTGCACGATCCAACGCAGTGAATCCCTTCTGGTGAAGACGCTAGGAATCCTCAGTCAGAAAGCCAAAGAGAGTTTATGTTTTGCGGCGTATCTCAATTATCTGATGTCTTACCCACTGATAAAGAGATGCCCACCTATTTATAATTAGGCTAAACCTAATTATGTGGGCTTTAGGACAACCTATAGCCCAATAGGTAATTGGACCTAATCCAATTAATGATTTAATTAAGTCTAAGTCCAATGTAAACTTAATTATATATTTTCTATCTAATAGAAAATAATCTCATTACTAAAATTAAATATTCCAATCTAATTGAATATTTAACACTCTCGATTCACTCTTAGCCGGAAAATAGATTGCATATTGTGTGACCCTATAGGCCTTCATATATTGACATAAATCTAATTTATGATCCTTACGAAACTCCTAGACTGCGTCGAAGGACGAACTCAAAATATGAAGTACGTTTACATAGACAAAGCAAACAAACCTTTAGTGTAGAATTCAATAGTGATACGGTCCCTTCATTCACGACCCACTCGATTAAGCTTAGGACTTGAATGTGTGTCTATCCAAACAACTTAATCATTTTATCTCATCCTACTGGTTGATTTTATCAATTACATTTGAACACCATTTCAAATATAATCATATGCACTGGCCAGTGACTTTATCAACCCAGTATAGAGAAAACGAGTGTTCTCTCGAAACTATATTCGAGGAATGAATCCCATCTTGGCTCAACTACCAATTCCATGTATATCGTGATCTACCCAACACGAGCCCGTGTCTACCCATAAGGGCGTAAGCGTTGGACTAGGTCTAAGTAAATCACTCTATACATGAATTGCGTATTGACCTCAAGTCAAAGGACTATTACACCATTCCACACACCGACACTCCCATAGACACATAAACAAATGGTTTATCGGTAGGGTATGCCAATACTCTCCAAAGTATCCATGTGTCCATCACGAATAACAATTATTCATAGCAGTGAGACATACTATATTGTCTAAGAATATGATGCAGACCACATGTCAATCTATCGCGTATCATTAATATCCCTTTCTTAATGATCATCGATTGAGGCGATTTTAGAGTTATACTTTATCAATTAACATCTCACTCTGCTAATGACAGTATCAACTCAAGGGAGCAATTAATTAATAAATTGCAAACAATCAAATAATTATTTAATTAATTACAATACCATAATTATAATCCAATATAATTATTAATGTGATCATGTATATATGTCCTTAAAATGATTGTCTCTAGGACACATATACCAGCACCATTCTGTCGGGTTGTAACCGTTAGATCATCATGTAACCGTCGAAGATAGTTGATCTAACGGTTGCAAAGCTCGACGGAATGATTCCATAATAGAACCGTAAAATCTTCCTAAACTTTTAACTTTAACGGTCAAAAATTATTGACAGGTGACCCGTGATTCGTGAATGAATAGATTAACGTGCGTATGACGATTACCAATGTGTATGTAGGAATAATTATTAAGTAGGCAATATATATTTGTTTGACATTTTGTATATTAATGTAGGAATAAATATCAAGAAATGCAAGAGAAAAAAGTTTTTTTTTTTTTTTTTTTTAAAATATGTTTTCAAAATTTTGTGGACAAATTTGAATTAGACAAGAATAATTTTGATGACTAATTTTCCTTTTTTTCTTAATTAATTATGCCAATATTAGACAATTAATGAATTATTTTCAACGTCTCGTTTCTTGCCCTTTTTATCAAAACCTAGAAACATTACGCTCATGCATATAGATTTCCCATATTACTATTATAAACTCGTTTGGTAAGTGCATGGTAACTTCTACATATCTAATTAAATATTCCACTCCAACTATATATAGAAAAATAAGGAAAAAATGCACCGGAATCTTATCTTTAGCTCTTAGTTTAGACTTTATAAAACCTTTCATTGTAGTTATTATTTTTTTGAAGTTTTTTCAGTACAAGACTCGAAAGATGGGTAAACTACTAAATCAGGGTTTGAAAGATTTTTTTTCTCAATTCGAGACGTAAATGTTATAAAACTATAAAATTAAATCCTAGAATCCTAAAATTAAAAAAAAAAATGGATTTGAAAGTAAATGATTCTGCATGAAATTTTATTGTGGTAACATCGGTACACAACCATCATCCACATAGGGTACAAATACAGTAACTAAAAATTTTATTTTGCTATAGATGATTTGATCACCTTAGTACCAATAGGTGGTACAATATATCTTACAATAACCAATAGTTAAAGGATTTAAATTTAATTGAGCAGCAATTATCATTCATGGTCTTAATTAAATCTTTATATTATGTATTTTAGAGATCATATTGCATATTATAGTTCAACCTGCATAATCCTTTTCTACTAAAACTTTAACTTACCACTATCAAATCAATGACAGATCCAAATATCCACCACTTCCCCTGCCACAACCCTGCTTTCTAGAGCACACGATCGAACAATATCTTGGAAAAATCGGGCGTTAACAGATTTTCCTGATCACCATTGTATCATTTGCATGTTTTTTCGACGCTCAACAAGTCTTCATAAGTGTTTTTACTGATGCCGAGCCAAAATGAAGCTGCAAAATTTCAGCCTATGATCCTACGAATCGTTTCTTTTCGCGTAACGCCACTAGCGACTTTTGTCAAAATTCGTGGTCCTGGGATTCCCCTGCGCACGCGTCCACTGTATCCGAGTGGTCCCCCCAATGCGCGAGCCCAATCATGAGAGGCTTGTCGGACTCGTATTTCTTATTGGGCTGCTTGATTCGTGGGCTTGTCTTGGCCACTCTAGCCGACTCGAGTTTGGGAAGGAAAAACATGCTTGTCTTGTCTTGTTTGGTTACGTCTGTATTCGGGGGTCTAACTGCAATATCGATAATGTGTGGATGTATGTTAGGCTCAGATTTATTAGTGAGATTCATATACACATTTTCCTATCAATCACAAATTTGATAGGTTTCACAATTCTGGAATTTGGGTCAAAGCCCAGCCCAATTATCAATAGCCACATCCATATATCATTTACTTGTTTTGGGCCATTTGGCTTTAACACCTATGTGAAATTCGAACGGTCGGAAAATTCTTATAATAATAATAATAATAATAATAATAATAATAATAATAATAATAATAATAATAATAATAATAAAAAGGTTCTGTAACATAAAAATCCCATCGTCTTCATTTCGAATTTCCACACAACGAAGGCACTCTCTCCCTGCGAACATCGTCGATCGTTAAACCCTAGGGTTTTCGTTGCATTTTGCTTGCGATTCACTTCAATTCGTGGTCATTATTAGGGTGAGCATCCATTTCAAGGCACTCCCGCTTGAATCCTGAGATCGGATTGAGAAACAAAGGGGAGACGAAAAGTCGAATAGAGGAAGAAGCATGCGGTTGCAATTCGCGTTGCTTCTCTGAATCCACAATAAGGAGAGCACAGGAAATAGGTCGGGATGCCGCTTTTCATATCGGAGGAAGAGTTCGGGCGGTGCTCGGGCGATGCCGGCCTGGTGGCGGAGAAGGCGGACGCGTTTATCCGTGAGCTTTTCGGCCAGATTGAGACGGTCAAGGCGGAGGCTGATGCCGCTGCCATTACTCTCGAGCAGACGTGCTCGCTGATCGAGCAGAAGTACGTTTCCCTTACGGAGGAGCACTCGTCTCTCCAGTCGCAGCACTTGGAGCTCAGGTCCTCGCTCGAGCAGCGCACTTCCGAACTGGGTCAGCTCCAAACCGAGAAGCAACAGCTTCGTCTTGAATCTGTAAGTTTGTTTACTTAAAAATCATGTCTTGGCCGGCTATTAGATGATTACTGATAATTTGTTTTCATCAAAGATCGAGAAAGATGGGGAGATTGAGAGGCTCACACGGGGAGCATCGGAACTCCAGAAATCAAAGAGGCAGTTGATGGAGCTTTTGGAGCAAAAGGATTTGGAAGTTACAGAGAAAAATATCACTATTAAGAGTTATCATGATAAGATTGTAAGTATTCTTTGTTCATCTTATATCTTGGTGGTTACTAAAATTATATTATTCATGTAACCCCTATATGTATTTTATTTGGTGTAAGTTGAAATTCTACATATGTACCTCAATGTGCTGCTTATTTATCTTTTCATGGAGTGGTTGGCGTTTGTTATACGCATCTATATCTCATTTGGATTATGATGTTAGCTGTATTTTCTTAAACAACTGTTCTCTGGGAATAATGCATCTGAGCATATGTACTGCGATGGTAACTATTTATGCACCACAAACTTATTTACTCTTTTCTTGACTATTATTTGAAGGTAAATTTGGCTGAAAATGCCGCTTCAAAAGATGCACGCGTGGGAGAACTTGAGGCTGAATTGGGACGATTACAGGCTTCGTCCTCCCGCCTTTTGCAGGTGACCCATTTGTGGTTTCAGTTATGAGCTATCAACTTCAAGTTTTCATATTTTGAAGTTATTTCCATGTTGTCTGCGTTCTTTCCTATTTCTCAAGACACATTCGTGTATGCAAACATAAGGGACTTCAAGATGTATGCACTTTGGCACTCCATGTAGGGGCAAAGAATAAATGTGCTCATTGATTCTGTGCATATTACTTTTACTACAATACTCTTAAAGTTTACTATGATTTCTAAGATATTCAGATAAAATATTTATCACTATCACATTAAAGCTAGAAATTTTGTGGATTGGAACATTTTATATGAATATGTGTCACCTTTTGACTTGGTGAACTATTATGTGTACATATTGAGGATTAATATTTTTCGCAATACAAATTATATCCGCATTTCCCCTCTTAATTAGCAACATGCTTTTGTTGTGTCCTTCGATTAATGGTCCAGTTCTCCTTTTCTCTATGATATAGTGTTTATAATTTTGAACTGAGCAGGAAAAGGAGCTTCTTGAGAGGCATAACACTTGGCTTAATGAGGAGTTAACTGCTAAAGTTGACAGTCTTATCCAGCTGCGCAAAGCAAATGGAGAATTAGAAGCTGAAATGTCATCTAAGCTTATGGAAGTATGGCTTTGTGTTTTGTAGTAAATAGAGGGTTTAGTTTTACCATATTTTTGTTGCAGTGTTCTGTTACTTCAATGTTTGCAGTCATGTCCTTTACATACTCAATCAATTATTTTTCGCTTGATCCAGGTTGAGAATAAAATGAAGGAGAGCTCCACGTCTTTGTTATTGCAGAAGGACAGAGTGAAAGAGTTGGAGGAAAAGCTGGCATCCCTGGAAACAGTGTGTTCTTTTTGCATGTTTTTCTGTTCCAAGTCTACTTTAGTTCTATACTTGTTTTTTTCTGTTACCTTTATTATTTACTATTTACATTGTTTTTGCAGGAACTGTTGTCGACCAAGGATGCTGCTGCAGCTTCAGAGGCTCGTTTCACTGCTGAAATCGCAACTGTAAGTATAGCCGTGTTATTATACTTTTATATTCTTATATAAATTGGATGGTCCTTGCTATAGTTTTCATAAGTATTCTCTTCATTGTGTCTTCCCTTTTGATCATGTGAATGCGGTTCATAGAAAATATAGTCCGGGGGTTGATTGTTCACATAATCACATTGATGCTCGGAATATTAGTTGCCCATGTGGTTTGACAAGCTATTTGTACAAACCTTGTCCAATTTTTTTTTTTTTTTTTNTTTTTTTTTGTTTGTTTTTTAATATTAACCAGTATTACAATAGGCAAATGTGTTAACTTCCAAATTCACAGTCTTCCATGCCATTGTTGACTACCTGCAATGTGCAAGCTCTTCTTACTTATTTAGCAGCTTTCAAAGTTATTGAAGGATGCTTTAGTGTGGTTTGCTGTCATTAGATTTGAGCAGCCATTGCAAGGGAATTATATGATGGCAAATGAGATACTCTATCTTCCTCAAATTTGATTTTGAGTAGTAGTGATTTGCAGAACATTGTTCGTAAAAAGATATTTCAATTTATTCAGGATCAGCTTATGTATTTATGAGATTGATATCTGTTTCATGTTTGGATTATTTTTTGACTTAATAGGTAACCAAGCTCTTGGATTTATATAAGGAAAGTTCTGAGGAATGGTCCAAGAAGGCAGGAGAGCTAGAGGGAGTGATCAAAGCTTTGGAAGTGAGTGCGAGTTGTAGTTCTATTTTATCCAAAACATGCACATACGCTATAGCCTTAATAAAAGAGGCATTAGCTTCCTTTTTCATTAAGTTGGATTCTTTTGGAATGTAGTAATGTCATATTTCTATGTCCGACAGACTCATTTAAATCAAGTTGAAAGTGAATACGAAAGTAAGCTTCAGAAGGAAGTCTCTGCAAGGAAAGAATTGGAGAAGGTATATAATATATTGCGTTCAGTTTTCTTGGGACTCCAAAATATTTTTGTTAATACTTCGCATTAGTGAGAAGAGTGTCCTAGTATCTGAGGATGTTAACAAAAATGGCAAATCTGTTTACTGTATGTTTTCATGCGTCCTTCGAACAATTGTGGAATGATAACCGTTACTTCATATTTTCATTTTGGTATTATGCTCCCCTGTTGCCTTCGTATGATCAGAATATAACGTTGTAGCAGGAACTGATTGATCAGATGTCCATTATTTGTGAATTCAATTTTCAAATTTCTACATTATTCTTTTTTTTTTATTGGATAAGACTTTTATAGTAATATCACAAAGGTCATGCTCACGGCAAATGAATCTAGAATTTCTTATGTCGGAAAACTTACTGAATATCAAGAACAAAACAGGGATTACTATGACTCCTTAATCAGTGTTCAAGTATTTCGTTATATTGAACAACAAATGATGATACAGTGTCAGGAACAAATTATTTTGCTACTTGTCACAATTCAGGGTTCTGCACCCTGCTCAACACAAATGACCACAAGTTACTCATTCTCCCTCTCCCTCTCTGTGTCTATCTCCCTCTTTCTTTGTGTGTGTACATCTGTGAATGTTTGTGAATGACTGTTTAGGTGTGTGAGTTTGAGGGAAATGTTGAAGAGATAAGAGATTAAAAGTCGATTGATTTTGCATCTGGGGTAACATTATATTCTCGCCCGTTTCCAGTTGGTTTCTCTTTTGTAACGGCGAACTATTTATTTATTTTATCCTTGTCCTAGTATGATCTATCTATTTTCTTGAATTGTTTATTTTATTTCTTTTTGGCTGGATAGGAGTCTGCTGATTTGACAGAGAAACTTCAGACTGTTGAAGCAGAATTGACAAACTTGAAGAAACAAAAAGATCTAAATCATCTTCCTCTGAGTAGTTTTACAATAGAGCCGTGAGTTACTTTCTAACTCATTCAGTGCAGTTTAGGCCAAGATTGGCAAGATACTGTCTAACTCTTTCCATAGTTGGTGATGTGATAGTTTTTATGTTGTATAGTGGGGTCAGGATTGGAGAGACGTTTTTTCATTTTTGTTCATTATCATGTTTATATGCCCTAAATAATGATGAAGAGATTGCCGTTTCCAGCTTGCTACTAGAAATTGATGCTTGTCTGCTGCTACTTTTATTTGTGCTTACTATCTTTGTTTTTAATTTTTAGAGCGTCTAATTCTGTTGATGCCAACGAAGCAGCTGGGGACGATAGAGCAATTGTACCCATGATTCCAGCTGGTGTTTCAGGAACAGCATTAGCTGCTTCGCTCATCAGGGATGGATGGACTGTGAGTTGTATTCTTGTCTTTTTTTTGTTATTGTTATAAATATCTCAGAGAACTGTAATATTCTTGTAATAAATGGCACTAAGAACTTGTAGGACAGACGGTGTATCATTTTTCCCCCTTTTTTGGGAGAACAAGCTTGGTGCAACTGTGGTTTATTAACTTTTCAGTTATTTCCCTTTTCGATTCACTTATTATTTATATATGGCATTATGAAGCTGGCCAAGATATATGCCAAGTACCAAGAAGCCGTTGATGCACTAAGGCATGAGCAGTTAGGAAGAAAGCAAACACAGGCTATATTGGAGCGGGTTAGTGTTAATATATCAAAACATCATGCTCTATTCCTTGATATAGAAACCATTCTGCAGTTGTCTCTTCATGCATTCCTGTTTATGCGGATTATGTCATATAACTGAATACAGTAACATTGCCTGATGAGCCTGTTCCCTTATCCATACATATGAAGTAGTAAAATTGTTGTTCCGTCATGCCTTTATGTTGATTGTTGTTGGCATAGTATAGTATAACAACTAGGAACAAGAGATGGTCCTGTTCTCTGTGCTTTATTGTAAATTTTTGTGCTCTATTCTCCTTATTACTTGTAAAATATATAACATATGGGTTAGAGATTTTAGACTCAGTCGTATGATTCACCTATAGAGATTTTAGTCTCAGTCGTATAATTACCTATGACTTTTAGTTTTGGCCTTTGAGATTAATGTCATGATAAACTTTTGGAGAATTATTTTGGAAGAAAATGGAGAAGAAGTTATCGGCTGAAGCATGGATTGGTTCAAAAGGGTAAAATTAGAGCCATATTCAAGTTGAAATAGTGCTTGTAGTTATCAGCAATTTTGAGAAATAATACCTCTTTTCCTTGATGCTTCTCTCTGTTTGAAGATAAGAGAACCATGTTGCATCATAAACAATATGGACTGCATTTGTCCCTGCATAGTTATATGTTTGTAAAAGTTGTATAGAGAACGTTTAAATTGTTTAAAGGTTGCCAAAAATTTCCTGCGCATAGAATTTTTTTAATGCGTTGGGTGTTTTTGAACTTTTATTGATATAACAGATGGTTAGGAAGTTTATTCTTGCTTTTCCATTTTCATGTTCTTGGCGGTGAAAAAGGATGTTACATAATTGGTTAAAGCAGTGGTTTTTCGTAATGTTCCTCGTATTCTTTTGTGTTTCAATCTAGGTGCTTTATGAAATAGAAGAAAAAGCTGGAGTCATCATGGATGAACGAGGTATGCATTTTGTGTTGGATTGACAGCATTGGGATTATAGGATTCCTATTTCAGGACTTTTGATTCATATGCTTTTGCTGTAGGGTTACAGATCGTTCTGTTTTAGTATATTTTATTATAGACATTGTTCAGATTTCACCATACATATCTGGTTTTAGTCATTTAAAGTACTGAGAAGTTGACATTCTGTAGTAAGTGGTGTGAAGATGTTGATAGATGGAAGATTTGTTTCCTAACTTCTGGAATAAATTGGAAAAAGAATTAATTTTTTCTGTTGTTGTACTTCTGTGGGATGTGAGATTCAAGGCTTACGTCTATCATCTTAAGAGGATATTATGTTGTTTTGAATTTAGGCCTGGTTGTGCTCTGTTAAGTAATTAGCTTACAAAACAAAAACATGTTTGGTTAGCAAGCATGTTTTATTGTGACTTATCAAGCATTTAGTAGTGTGCAGCCCAGATATATTTTCAGGCTTTGGTTTTGCGTATGTATCATGCAACAACGCGTATATATTGTTTGCTACGTATTGATTATTGTTACTGTAGGATTCTTGATAAATCTAACCTTCTGATCTAGGTTTGGGGTTTTACCATGTTTAATTCTTTGCTGGTTGCATTTTCTGGTACGCTCTAGTAGAAAAAAATCGGTGAAGCCTTGTATGTCCTAGAAGTGCTTCTTGGTTGTTCTATTAGGCCTTGTCCAGATTTGGGTGTGAAAGTTAGAATTATAGGTTTGGGTCCCAAACATTCCTTTAGACGTTAAGTTCCAGTCATGGTTTTAATTTGAGAAAACCCTGGAAGATCTCAAAATTGAGCCCAGAAGTAAGTGGTGGGACCTGTAGGCAGGCGTGCTAATGAAGTGACAGTAAAAGAAGGAATAGCATAGGGTTTGGCCCAAATTGAAATAATTTATTTTATTTAGTTATGTGGCCCAAATTCGAACTTGTTTGGTTAATTTTGTTTAATATTTAGTTTTTTTATTTACTTAAATGAACTAAGGACACTTAAAATTAAGATAAACATCCCTAGAGTAGTATGAAAGTAACATGCATCTTTTGGGAAGGGTATGTTTAATAATTGAACAGAGGCATTTCAAATATTTAATAAATAATAGTTAGAATAGTGAATAATAAAATCAAAAAAAAAATATTATTTGTAGATCAAAATATTCGTAAAATAAATATTATGAACAGTTTTAATCTAATGATGTGAAAGTATTAAATGGAAAAAATTAGTATCTTTAATAAGAGCCAACAGCTGGAGCAGGAACAAGTCTAAGACCTCCCTTTTTGTCCTTTAGGGTCTAAAATATTTTGAATATTAAGCCCAGAGATGGCCTAGGAACATATTTTGAGACATCATGCATTTACTTTGTTAGTTGAATGAGTGATTTACCTTACGTCCTTTCCTTTGCAGAGGAACATGAGAAGCTTATTGATGCTTACTCTGCCTTAGATCAAAAACTGCAGCGCTCACTGTCTGAACATTCTGTGTTGGAGATGACCATTCAGGAGCTGAAGGTTTGTGTTCTATTTTAAAATTTGGGTAAACTCATCAGTTTCTTCCAAGTTCATCTTTGAGGTCTGTACTTTGCTTTTTAGGCAAGCTTAAGGAAGCAAGAGCGTGATTATACTGTTGCACAGAAGGAGATCGTTGACCTCCAGAAAGAGGTAATATTCATTTTGTGTTTTTGTAAATTAATGTTATGATGCTGCTGCGTAGCTTCCCGAGCAAGGAATTTGATATAATAATTCTCTTAGACATCACATATACACATTTTATTGATTGTTTGTGCATGCTATGGTTAAAATTGTATTGTCACCTGCATTTATCTTCTTGTCAGGTGGCTGTTCTCTTAAAAGAATGTCGAGATGTTCAGTTGCGTTGCGGATCAGTTTCTCGCTATCACGATGATGAGATGGTTGGTGGTCCCACTGTACCGTCGCTTTCTTCATCAAGTTCTGAAGATATCATATCTGAACGGCTGGTAAGTGGTTTTGTCATTCCATTCTATATATAAACTTCCAATTTTAGACCTCCAAAACTGATGGGCATTGAGATGGTATTTTGTGCAGTTAACATTTAAGGACATAAATGGATTAGTTGAGCAGAATGTCCAGCTGCGGAGTCTTCTCCGCAACCTTTCTGGCCAGATTGAGGAGAAAGAAGCAGAGTGGAAGGCATTGTCACGTTTCTTTTGTAGCTGTGTTTACTGTTTATTCTTTTCTTTTTGTTTTTCTTCACAACTACTATATTGAGCTCATACTTTCCTGAAAATTTCCAGGATAAGCATGAGAGACAGCTTCAGATGCTTAAGGATGAAACCACATCTAAAGTTCAAGCAGTGTTACAAAGAGCAGAGGAACAGTCCCAAATGATTGAGTCACTCCATAGCTCTGTGAGTCTTCAATTCGGTTATGTGAAACTGGAATACGGTTTCCAAGCACTGTGATTTTATCTTTGATTTTCGTATTGTTCTTACATGCATATTAGGTGGCAATGTACAAGAAATTGTACGATGAGGAACACAAACATCGTACGTCCTCCACTCGCACACAAGTTGCAGCTCCAGGTTCATCCCCCTTTCATCTGTATTTTGTTTGATTACTTCCTTCATTGTACGTCGAATCCCTTGCTGTGAATTTTATAAAGCTTCATGCTGCTGTTTTCTCTATGGAAGTGCCTTTGAATTTTGTTAAATGTATCAAATTCTATAAAGATGTCTTTATTCTCTCTTGTAGTGAGGAACTTTTTTGACTAACACGAAAATGGAAAGTTAGGATATTGGTTTCTGAGTCCATTAGTTGATCTGTTGTCCCCTTTTTGTTGGCTATGGTTGCTAGTTGCTACCAGTAACGTAATTCATGGCATAACAACTATTTGAGCTACTAAATTAGGACTTGTGTATTGTTTTACTTTACAGTTGTAGGGGACTATAAAGCTGCAGATAACTTCCCTTATGTATCCATGAATATTTGCTTTTCCCACCTTCGATTATGTTCAATGCCGAACCGGTTATTTCGTGTCATTACTTATGTGTTGGTGTTTGATATTACAGAACAAGGAAGCAGGGAAATTGTGGTTCTACAGGACAGTAACCATGTATGTATTGACGAAACTCCCTGGAGATGTATATGCATCTGCTGTGTTGCTATCAGTTCTTTCTTTCATCCTTCTCTTATTATATGTACAATTTGCAGGATGCATCAAGAAAGGTGCAAGAACAGGCTTCGGAACGTTTGAAAAATCTTGAAGATGATTTAGCAAAATCTAGGTGAGCCTTCTTTTCCTTTTATACGTTTCTGCAGGACACATCATGATAGTACGTTTCACCTGTTGATCTAGCATCTTAGCACAATTATTCCTGAGAAGAAAAGAGCATAAGGCGAAGAGACATATTTTTTATCGTGTTCTTACTGAGTTGATATATATTATGAGATACAAGATATTGAAAGAGTCAACAAGTCGTATGCTTTTTAGAGGTCTATAAACTTGGTTGGAAGTGGTGAATAAGACGTGTTGGCATGAAGAAATCTGTAAATTTCTTGTTGGGACCATTCCTCCTTAATTTCTCACATTGTAATTTTCACATGGGTCTATATGAGCAGTAGCTTGGAAGAACGCAAATTTTGGGTGATTTTATACACTTGTTTTTGTGGTCCAGCTTCATGATGCTTTAGCAGGACTTTTTTCTTAAGATGGATATTCTATATTTGGTGTTTTTGTAAAGAGGTGTATACTATACATATTAGCTTTAGATTTGGTTCCAGAGTTATTAATGGCGGATGGCGGCAGCCAAAATCGCGCCATAGCCGCCATCCTTCACAATTTAGCACGGCGGTTTGTCAAAAATTCGCCATGGCGCCGCCGTGGCCGTCCGCCTTCATTCGATAATATTTTTTGGTTCCCTGATCGATTTCTGTTTGTTCCACCTAGGAGTGACCTAATATTATTACGATCTGAGCGCGACAAGTTAGCATTGGAAGCGCAGTTTGCACAAGAAAAACTTTCCAGATTTATGAAGGAATTCGAGCATCAGGTTGATATGTTTGATGCTGCATTTTACTTAGTGGCCTATCACGTTTTAGACCATTTGGATTGGCATATTGACGTAGTGCACTTCGATATCTTAGGAATTATTTTAATATGAACTTGTTTCCTGGTTCATGTCAGAGAGAGGAGCATAACAATGTTATAGCCAGAAATGTTGAGTTTTCACAGTTGATTGTTGACTACCAAAGAAAGATGCGGGAAAGTGCTGAGTCTTTCGATTCGGCAAACGAAATCTCTCGGAAGTTAACTATGGAGGTTTTTCTTGCCCCCTTTCTTGTAATGCTTGCTTGAAGGTAACATTGTAGTAAATGGATTTTATATGCTTCTCTAAGGTGTCGATTTTGAAGCATGAAAAAGAAATACTGCAGAGCTCTGAGAAGAGAGCTTCTGATGAAGTTCGTGGTTTGTCAGAAAGGGTTTATCGCCTGCAGGTAGTGACACTAATTATTTATGAATGAAATAAGTTTACTTTATGGCGGTAAATCTTGTTTTATGCCAACTTTTCTGAGTTAACTTTTATTTCAGGCTAGTTTGGACACCATGCAGAGTGCTGAAGAAATGCGAGAGGTAGCTTTTCCTTCTGCAACATGTTTCTCTGCATTTAGTATCGGAGTCGACTATGTTTCTCTGCTGTTAGTACTGATACTCCAACTCTTGATGTTCCATTGTTTAGGAAGCCAGAGTTATTGAGAGGAGAAAACAAGATGAGTATGTCAACAAACTTGAGGTAATCCTCCTCCTGTGAATTGTCGTGTATCATACTCATGGATTTGTATTTCTTGACATTGCTTATGTGCAACTAAAGCAATGCTAGACATTTCTTTCCTAGCCTTGCCTATGAGTATTTTGCATGTTCATTTTTGGGTGGTAAATTACTGTGGGAATGCTTCAATGTAGAGAGAATGGGCCGAGGCAAGAAGGCAGCTACAGGAAGAGCGAGATAATGTTCGGAATCTTACTCGGGAGCGTGAAAGTTCCTTGAAGAATGGTTTTAGGCAAGTTGAAGAATTGAGTAAAGAATTGACTACTGCCTTGCAATCTGTAGCAGCTGCTGAGTCTAGGGCTGCAGTTGCTGAGGTGTGGAGTTTGAAAATTCATCTGTCTTCCCTGATTTCTTTGATTGCTGTGTTGCCTTTATTTTGGTGTTATATTCTAGATGTTCAATAGTATAGTTGATTGAGTGGTGAAAGTTTTATCCAGGCTCGTTGCTCAGATTTGGAGAAGATTATGGAATCTACAAGAACAAAGGTATTTTCCGTCCACTTTTTTGCTGACATCACTACCTACTATTTCAAAAAGAAAAAATTGAAACACAAAAATAAAAACAGACAAAAGAAACTCGAAATTATGAGAAACAAAATACCAAGAAGCAATTTCAAAACACGACTTGATAACTGTGATGTTGTGGAAGAGACTGTCTGCATTAGGTCGCAAATAAAGTTTTGGTTTGTTTTCATGCTCTTTGTTGGGACCAGTGATTAAAATAGCGCGCCATGGCGCCGCCATGGCGCGAGGCGAGGCGAGGCGGGGCTTCGACGCCTCATACCCTTGAGGCGAGGCGGACTTGTAAAAGGCGACGCCATGGCGTCGCCTCGGATGTAGCGCAGCGTAGCCCGAGGCGACGCCTTATGAAGATGAGGCGAGACAGGGTAATTTACGTATTATTAGGGTTTCATAACGGGAGATTCAAACTTAAAATTACTTACCAAACTAAAAATTACCATGTGCCTTTTGTTCCACCGGCGACGGCGACCACATTCCGGCAGCTAGCCGGCGACGGCGAGTGGTCCATGTTCCAGTTTTTTCTTTTCTTCATCTTTTTCTTTTTTCCTTTCTTGCTTCAGCCATTGTTCACGAACGGGGGGAGGGGGTGTGTTAACATGTTTTTATTATTATTATTATTAATATTATTATTATTATTATTATTATTATTATTATTATTATTACTATTATTATTATTTATGTTGTTTATTTATGAATGTGGAGCACTAACTTGTTTTCTAATGTGGAGTATTATATTATTATTGAAATTGAGAATTGGGCATAATGTGGAATTGTGGGATGGGTTCATGGTTATTTTAATTGGGACCATGTGGGTTGATTTTATCTCTATTTCTGATTTGTTTAATGTTATTTTTATTTTATTTTATTTTATTTAATGTTTTTTTTTTTTATTTTAGTTTAATGTGTGGTGTCTTGTTGCATGATTATTAGTTATTATAATTTATTTTTATACATAATTGTGTCATAATTTGGTAAAATATCACACATACATATATTTTTATTTTTTGTACAATGGCTCGCCTCGCTTTCATAAGGCGGGCGCCTCGCCGCACGCCTCACGCCATGGCAAATAGGAGCCTTGTCGCCTCGGCTCGCCGCGCGCTATTTTAATCACTGGTTGGGACTAATTGTTTGTTTATTATTTTGTTTTTCTCTTCTGAATACCTTAGGCCTGTCATCCTTCTGATGATTGGCGCAGGAGACTTACATTAGTTCTATCTCTTTATGCAGGAATCTGATGGTGCTGAAGGCGGTCCATCCTCAAATGAAAAGGTACTGTCAATAATACATATTAGTATTCATTGCAGTCATTATCGAACTAATCTTTCTAACTTAGACTGTGCTGCTTATACTCCTGTTGATCTTTTTCAGCTACTGGTGAAGTTCCGGGATGAAGTTGAAAAATTGAGAGAGGAAGCACAGGCTAGCAAAGATCATATGCTTCAGGTAGTCAAATTCCATTTTTGTACTTCAATTCTGGTTTTCAAAATTTACATTTTATTTCCTTTTCAGTACAAGAACATTGCTCAAGTAAATGAAGATGCACTCAAACAAATGGAGGTTGCCCATGAGAGTTATAGAAAGGAGGTAATGTTCATGGATAATTGCTTCAATTGATTACATCATTTGCTTATGCAATTTACATCTCTTTTGCGTTACAGGCTGATGAAGTTAAGAAATCACTGGAAAGTGAGATTCAATCACTTAGGGAGCGTGTTAGTGACTTGGAAAGTCAATGTAAACTGAAAACTGAGGAAGCACTTTCTGCAGTTGCTGGAAAGGAAGATGCTGTTGCTGGTGCTTTGTCTGAGATTGCCAGTCTGAAGAACGATTGTGCTACTAAAATGTGAGCTTTCTTGCGTTATTTCATGTGTAGGAACTGTTGAATTTATGAATAGATAGATTAGGCCAAGTCATCAAGATAGAATTATCTGATGATGCATGGAGTTGACATTTAGGCCAAGTCTAAGACTTTATTGAAGCTGATGACAGGATCTTAGAATTTCAATAGTGTGATTATTGGTTGTTAATGATAATAGTAATACTAAATAAATTGAAGGTGGTAATACTAAAAATGACTTAACTTCGGTTAAAATGAGATGAAGATATAAAGTTATGCAAAAAGAGACTTCACCAAGTATCCAAACGGACTATATCATATGGCTGGGAAAAATCATTTTGATATGATAAATATTATTGAGTAAACTTATACATATTTATATTACTTTAACATTTTCTTGAATTGTCATAAGATGCTTGCTCTTGACTTACACTAGGTCACAAATTGTGTTGTTGGAATCTCAAATATCTGCCTTCAAAGATGATCTGGAGACCGAACATCAGCGTTGGCGAACTGCTCAAGACAATTACGAAAGACAGGTAAAAGCTAGGGTTCCGTCTTATGTGTTATATCTTGTATAAGATTTCTTGATTGAGTAGGTATTCAAACAGTTATTCAGTTTTGTTTTGATGGTTTAGCATCAGTTAAACTAAATGCTTCTGTAGACGAGTCAATCTACATCTAGTCATGTACAGATCGTCGAGTTTCAGTGCTAAGCTTTAATCATGATTTTACTGCACAAAGAGAAAGGAGTAAGAAATTATTGTTGACGTGTACATTTTATACCATTTTCACCACATAGCCAGAGAGAAACTGTGCATTAAGTGTACACCATTTCTCTACATTGTCCTCTGTGTGCTGTCGTGTGGTTTGATTTCAGGAATTGAGAGTGGTATATTACCAGTTGTTTATTTACATCTTCTTTAGGGTATATGGGTATATTTTTTATTTAAAGTGTACTTTAAAACTAATATCTATTATTTATTATTTTTTTGTTTCTATTTTATCTCACGTTGCCCCATATTTATGGCATGTTCTTGTTTTAAATGTAACTGCTCTGGATGAGGGAAACTTTGACCCTTTAGTTCTATGTGGTTTTCCTTATTCCTATCCAGGTTATTCTACAGTCAGAGACAATTCAGGAGTTAACGAAAACGTCGCAAGCCTTGGCTTCAGCTCAAAATGAGACATCTGAGCTCCATAAAGTGGTGGATCATCTCAAAACTGAAAATGTATGACCTTTCTTTAGCATATTAGATCTTCTTTTCTTATTTCTGCTTGCCCTTCGTACTTCCTTTCATGCATAACTGGGTTGAAGTGTTGACATGACCGAAATCATATGCAATTTGTGAGCATTGCTTCTTGATTCCCTGAGAAATCAGCTAGAAAATGGAATATAGTTGAAAATTATATAATTGTGCTCACAGTTCTGCTTTAGTGAATGGTAAAAGCATATACAATTCGCCCCCTCCTTTTCATTCTCCCCTCTCAAGGGTTGTTATAATGGTTTGCCTGTCAATTTAAGTCCGGTTATGCCTATCTTTCCCGTAAAAGTTCCTGTGGTGGAACCCGTTGCTCATTCAGTCATTCTCCCCTTGCCTTCCTTTAATTATGCGTGCAATTTCTGAAAGGCACAGTATTTCATCTCACAGGTCAATCTGAAATTGAAATGGGAGACCGAGAGCTCAACAATCGAAGCCTACAAGAATGAGGCGGACAAAAAATACGACGAGGTGAACGAGCTGAACAAGATCCTGCACAGCCGGCTTGAAGCCCTGCACATCAAACTAGCCGAGAAAGAACGTGGAACTGCTTCCGGGAGTGGGCCCCACAGCCTTACGGATGATGACGGGCTACAGAGCGTGGTGAGCTACCTGCGTCGTTCAAAGGAAATAGCCGAGACTGAGATTTCCTTACTGAAGCAGGAAAAGATCCGGCTTCAGTCCCAGCTGGAGATCTCCCTAAAATCGGCAGAGGCTGCACAATCATCACTCCAAACAGAGCGCGCGAAATCCCGAGCAAATTTGTTCACCGAGGAGGAATTCAAGTCCCTTCAGCTACAGGTCAGGGAACTAACTTTGCTCCGGGAAAGCAACGTGCAGCTCAGGGAGGAGAACCGGCACAATTTTGAGGAATGCCAGAAGCTTCGTGAAGCACTCCAGAATGCCCGGTCCGAAATTGAGAGTTTGGAGAGGCTAATAAGAGAGAGGGATGCCTACCTAGAGACCTTCAGGAAAGAGATGGAAATCGTGAAAATGGAAAAACTGAATCTTGAGAAAAGAGTTGAAGAGCTTGTGGAGAAGTCGAAGGAGGTCAGTTTGGACGATTATAATCGCCTGAGGGACTCTCTTCAGCAGGCGCAGGTTAACCTAAGGGAGAAAGATGCTGAGATGGAGGAAGTCAGGCGACAGCTGTCGGAAAAGGAGAGTGTGCTCTCGAATCTGGAGAAACTATTGTCAGATAGGCAGGAAGTGGTGTCAAACTTAGAGCGGGATCTCGCGAGGATCAGAACCGAGCTGAATGAGAGGGAGTCCAGGATTGCTGAGCTCTCGAAAATTGAGGCTTCCCTGAAAACCGAGGTTGATAAGCTTAAGCAGATATACAGTCGGGGGAGGAAAGCCTTGACTAACATGCAGAAGGATAGGGATGAGCTGACGAATCAGAAGGAGAAACTGTCTAAGGAATTAGAGGAAACCAAACAGGAGATGGCCAGGCAAATAGAGGAAGCAGCCAAGCAGGCGAAGGTTATTAACTCAGCCGATTCGAGCAGCAGCGAGCAGACCCTGAAGGAGAAGGAATGGAAAATACATACCCTCGAGAAATCGCTCGAGAAGCACAGGGACGAGCTGAAGAAGGAGAGAGAGGATCACAAACGGGAGAAAGACAAGAGAGAGAAGATCAAGAAGACGGTCATCGAGTCTCGCGATGTGGTGAGTCAGCAGAGGACTAAGCTTATAGACGAGCTGAAGAAGCACCAGGAAGCTCTGAGGAGCCTTCAGGAAGAGGTTGAGAGATTGAAAGGCTCTGGAAACCAGATTCAGTCCGAGATGACAAATTCTAGTATTTTGGAGGATTTTGCCTCGGCTTATGTCCAGGCTGTCGAGAGTTTCGAGCAGGTGGTTCAACCTGTTTGTGGTGATGACCTGGATTCTTCTACCCTCTCTGATGTCCCATCTTCAGACCAGGTTTCCACACCTGCAACTAAAGCTCCTGCCCCTTCGAATAATCCACCTCTATCGAGAACTAACGAGGATAAAGAAAAACGGCTCACGTTAGCAAAGTCGAACGTGAAACTCGGAAGGAAATTGGTTCGTCCTAGCATCATTAGACCTAAGGAACAACAACAGCCACAAGGAGGCGGCGACGTGGACATGTCCGAAGCAGACGAGCAGCCCACCAACTCCATGACTGTCCAGAGTGTGGAAGGCCAAACGAGCTTGACACTGGCTTCACAAGCAACAACTGCGTTTGGACGAAAACGGCCCTCGGCTTCATCTTCCTCCGACCTGCAAGACGAGACGCTCCTCCCCGAGGAAACGACCCCCGGCGATGTGCTGGTGCCTCTCTCGAAAAAATCCAAATCCTCGGAGGAGGAGCAGCAGCAACAGGGTGACGAGGAACCACCATCTGCGGACCCCATGGTGGAAGTTCCGGATGATGACGTGGCGACTGTCAACAAGGATGAGCCCGTCGATTCCGAAAAAGACGAGGCGGCCGAAAGAGATGAATCTGAAACTGGAGAGCAACAAGCGGAGGAGCTGCCGAAATCAGACGGGCCACAAGTTCCGGCCGTCGAGCCGCCAGCTGGCAGCGACCCGGCAGATGAGAGTTTAGACAAGCCTGGTGAGGAGTCGGTTTTATCCGACGATCAGCTTAGGGACCAAACAGAACATGACAGAGAGGAGGGAGAACTTGTTGGGGACTTTATTATTGCCGACAGTAATGACGATGGTGACGAGGTGGGGCCCACGAGCACAGGGGAGCTGCTTCAGGTTGACCAATCTCCGGTGGAGCCTGTGACTGTGAGTTCTTCGCCGGTGGGCTTGGAGGCTGGGGAGATCGAGGAAGAAGAGAAGAACGAGGATGAGAGCTTGCCTGAGAAGTCTGCAGAAAATGATCAGAATCTTCTGGAGTCGTCTTCAAATGCTGCTGCTGCTGTTTCTAGTGCTAATACTACTATTACTACTACTAATGAGGATGCATCGACTAGCAGTGTGGGACCCGCTTTATCACCTGAGGCGGGAGGGAAGCCGGTGAATAGTGGGAGCTCGACGACTATTAATCTACAGGAGAGGGCAAGGCAGAGAGCACAGATGAGACTACAGGCGGGCATGGCTGGTGCTAATCCACCGAGTAGGGGTCGTGGGAGAGTGGCGCGTGGCCGTGGGGCCCGAGGTCGGGCTGGACGTGGACAGTCACCCGGTTAAGAGTGTCTTTATATATATATATATATATATTTTTTTTTTCTTTTTGCAAGAAACTGGTTTTACTCTGCTGGATTTGGTGTTATGTTGATTGTTTCTGATGTGGGAATATTTGCTCTAGTTGGGAGGGCCTGAACATTTGAAGTGTCCGTATTGTGAATGTTGCCAAGTCACCAATTAGGCAATTGTTGATTCGTTTCTTCTAAGATACTGACGTTTTCGCAACTACTATGTTCAGAAATGTTACGGTGAGTGGCTTGGTGTTCTAGGCATTTATCAAATTTAACGTGAAAAATAGTCACTACGTATTGTAGAAAATTGGATTTTGCCGTTCTGATTCTAAATACAATTTATGGGTATTTGAATTTACTCAAGTGAAGCGCTAAATACCGCCCTTTTTCGATATTTACTGCCCCCAAAAATTAGTATTTACTGCCCCCAAAAGACTAATTTGTTCATTTTTTTAAAAAATAAGAGATGTTCCTCTTTAGAATTATTTACCGGTCAAACCGGCCAAAAATATTTTTTTTTTTTTGGGCCGGCCGGCCTCAAATGCCGCCCGTAGCCACTAGCCGTGCCGGCCTTCTTTTTGCCGGTTGGCCGGCCCATGCACGGCCGGTTTTGTCGGTTGGCCGCACCATGCACACCGGCCGGCCGGCCAATTTTTTTTAATCAAATTTTTTAATTATATACATTATATTAGAATTTAGATTTATGTTATAAATTAGAATTTAATATTTCATAGTTAGAATTTAGAAATTGTTAAAGTATAAATTATAACTAATTATTTTATAGAATTTTATTATTATTATGTTAGAACTCATAAATTATTATGTTATATAACATAATACTAATTATCTCTAATAAAATACTAATGAGTGATGCTATTAAAAATTGTATTTCCCTTTTTTTCTTAAATCCGCTCCTTTTCAACTCGGTAATAAATTTTAAAATACAAAATAATATTTTGACTTAATTTGAAATTCATAAATATCAATTTAAATAACAAATTGAACGAAAAAAATCAGATTCTGTTAGAGCAATTCATTAAGACCGATTAATTAAGTATGATTTGACCAAATTTTATAAAAAGAGATTGTTTGACACTTTTCTCATAGTTATATGATTCGTTTGAATATTATAGTAGGAAAAGCGTTCCAACAAAATAGTAATAAATGCTAATTTATAATAGTAATAATCTTTACCATAATAATTTCTAACTTCTAACATATTAGTACTAAATATTATTTCATAAGGCTATCAATTCTAAACTATACCATAATAATATCCAACGTAAATTCTAATCTATAATACAATAATTTCTAACCTCTAACATATTAGTAAAAAACACTAATTTATAAGATAATCAATTCTAATATATAACATAATAATTTATACTAATATATTTTTTTCAAACAAGTATCATTTCTAATTTATAATAATATAACTTATACTACTTATACTAATATCATTTTTTTAACTGTATATGTTGTTAGTTCATTTTATCCTCGACAAGTGTATAACAAACATAACCTGAAATTAACGTATAAACACGGCCGAATATCATAATATATCAATAACATAATGAATGTCATCAATCACAAATATAATATACCCTAAACCCTAAACCCCTAAACCCTAAACCCCTAACCCCTAAACCTTAAACCCTAAACCCTATACGTTAATTTTGGGTTATATTTGTTATGCACTTGTTGAGGATAAAATGAACTAACAACATATACAGTTAAAAAAATGATATTAGTATAATTAGTATAAGTTATATTATTATAAATCAGGAATGATACTTGTTTGAAAAAAAAATATATATTAGTATAAATTATTATGTTATATATTAGAATTGAGTAACTTAGAATTTATTACTAATACGTTAGAAGTTAGAAATTATTGTATTATAGATTATAATTTATTGTCTTATGAATTAGAATTTATTGCTATTTTGTTAGAGGTTAGAAATTATTGTATTATAGATTAAAACTGATTATGTTTAAATTATAATATATTACTATTATGTTAGAAGTTGGATATTATTATGATATAGTTTAGAATTGATAGTCTTATGAAATAATATTTAGTACTACTATGTTAGAAATTTGAAATTATTATGGTATAGATTATTACTATTATAAATTAGAATTTATTACTATTTTGTTAGAACGTTTTTCCTACTGTAATATTCACACGAATCATATAACTCTGAGAAAAGTGTCAAACAATCTCTTGTCATAAAATTCGGTCAAATCATATTGAATTAATCGGTCTCAATGAATTACTCTAACAAAATCCGATATTTTTCGTTCAATTTTTTATTTAAATTGGTATTTATGAATTTCAAATTTAAGTCAAAATATTATTTTGTATTTTAAAATTTATTACCTAGTTGAAAAGGAGCGGATTTAAGAAAAAAAGAGAACTACAATTTTTAATAGCATCACTCATTAGTATTTTATTAGAGATAATTAGTATTATGTTATATAACATAATAATTAATGAGTTCTAACATAATAATAATAAAATTCTATAAGATAATTAGTTATAATTTATACTTAACAATTTCTAAATTCTAACTATGAGATATTAAATTCTAATTTATAACATAAATCTAAATTCTAATATAATGTATATAATTAAAAATTTGATTAAAAAAAAAAAAAATTGGCCGGCCGGCCGTACATGGTGCGGCCAGCCGGCAAAACCGGCCGTGCATGGTGCGGCCAACCGGCAAAACCGCCCGCGCATGGGCCAGCCAACCGGCAAAAAAAAGGCCGGCACGGTTACGGCCGACATTCAAGGCCGGCCAGCCAAAAAAAAAAATATATTTTTATATTAAAAATGATAAAACTGTCTTTTCGGGGAGTGGTATTTAGTAAAAAGGGGGGCGGTATTTAACAACACCCTTTTCTGAATTCAGAAATGATCCCAGAGATAATTTCCACAATTAAAATAATTATAAACAATGCGTAGGAAAATGATTATAAATAAAGTGAAATGCTACAGTCCGTTACGAAACAATTCTGTCGGGGTTTGTAATCGTTAGATCATTATGTAACTGTCGGGATAGTTTTCGTCGAGATTTGTAATCGTTAGATCATCATGTAACTGTCGGGATAGTGATGTAGGGGAAGCTTACGAATGGGAAGGATAAAACGAGTAAACGAGATACTCTCTCGTGCAACACGTAAAACTCAACAATATCTTTATTTCATTTCAAATTCAACTGAATAAAACAATAGATGGGGAGCCTTTTAAATAAGACTTCTAAACATTATTCTTAACTTGTCCAACAAGACAAGATTTCTAATATTTAATTCCTAACTTATCTTCCAAGATAATAATAATAATAATAATAATAATACTATTCTACACCAGATAGTTAATGTAACCGTTGCAAACCCCAACGGCATTGTTATGTAACTGGACAGTAGTATCTCATCTCCTTATAAATGGGACCGTAACATTTTCCTATAACTGGACAGTAGTATCTCCTTATAAACAGGACCGTAACCTTTCCCTATAAACAATGTGTAAGAAAGACTCGTGACAATGCAGAAGTGTGACCCCACAACACTTCAACACCACGATTCATTTACTATATAGAACACATGCATCAAACTAGCTAATTACATTCTTCAGTGCATCAGATTTCTACGTGTTTTTTCATAGGAATTTTTGTGCTTTTTAATCATATATGTCAACTCTTGTGTTTGGGAGTAGTCCTTGTAGATTATGATTTTTATCATGTCTATTAAGACTTTTAAAATTGTAAAACACTTGACAAATTTAAATTATTAAATATATTTTGAAATTTGATAAATTTTTTATATTTTATCGATTTTGATATAAAATATATCAAATTAATAACTTTTGATAATCTTCAATCTGATATCTATATGTCATATATATATATATATATATATATATATATAAAATTATATCTAACTTTGTAAATAAAAATTAAATAATATAATATATCATAATTGTAAAATAATAAATATATTAGTTATTAACTAAATATACCTATTAAGTCTATTACATCATATGACTATGAGTTTAGAAATTATTATAAAATTTGACGAGCAAATCTTACATGTAATAAGTGTCAAATAAAAAATTAAAAAGTATTTAATATGTTTTTATTCATATTTTTAAGTATAAAAATTTAAATAAAACGCCCGTATACCTCCTGGTAATATTCGGTGTTGTATTTAAATTATATATTGAAGTATAAAATTTTTAATGAACACCCGTGCTGTGAAATGTAATCTTAGTAATCCATCTGTACGAACACGTTTTAGAATGCTTTGAATTTAAATGGATATATTTTTTTTTTTTTTTTTTTGGTACAGGGATTTTCCGGTTTTCGGATCTACAGGGGAACCGACTAATCCGGAATCGAGCCGGGTAGGACCACAAGGGCGACAAAGCTCTCCCTCAAGAGTTTTGACACTGCTGCATTCCCAGGGCTTGAACACGAGACCACTGGTTAAGCTGGAAGAGACCCAAGTCATCTCATCCAAGCGCTCTTGGGTATAAAGTGGAAGAGACCCAAGCCATCTCTTTGGTTAAGGTGGAAGAGACAGGGCTCGAATTTAATTGGATATTGACTTCACCAAAACCTTTTGTAATAGTATAAGGTTTATACTTGTGAAAAATGATCATTATACAATTTCAAAAGAAAAAAGAATAGGAAAAAAGGACCCTAAGGAATTAAGGATCAAATTGTCATAGGCGTGCATGGGGTAAAAAAGACCATAGATTAGAAGAGTGAAAGTAAATAGTGTTTAACTTGGAATAATTGAGGATACTAATGGGCGTGCTTCGATACAAATATATCTGCTGAAAACGAGTTTTTTTTATTAACTAGAGTTAGTTTAAAAAAAATGTTATAGTTAGTTGTTACTTGTTAGTGAGATTTTATGTTTATATTAAAATAATATTTAATAAAATAATAAATGTTAATTTGATGTATAAGTAAGAAAAAAATAATTTGAAGTGATAGTTAGTTAATTATAAGGGCACCCGCAATGGTGTGTTAAGCCCCCTCGTTTAAACGTCCCCTGAGTTTAACATGGATGTGGCTCATCCATTAAAGGGGGACCCACTCCACCGTTCAATAGTCTTAACGCTACTTTTTTTTTTGTTTTCTTTACTTTTTTTTTCTTCTTGCCGTCTTTCTTTTTTTTTGTGGTTTTAAATTTATTCGATTCGATCTTTTCTTTTGTTTTAAAATTGTTATTTATTCAAAATTTTATTTTTATTTATATTTAATTTATTTTCGTAATTCTACAATTTTTTGTGTAATCTCAAATTAAGTTATTTTGACTTTGAATTGTTATTTTATTTTCAAGTATTTAAAAATAATTATTATAATTTTAAAATATTAAATTTTTATTTTTATTGAGAATAGAATATAAAAAATTATATTGAATGGGTGGATAATGGGTCCCACTTATGTATTTAAATGAATGTGTAGGAATGTGGGTATGTGTTTAAATGAACAGAGATTTAGTGGAATTATGATGTGGATGAGAGAGAGTGTTTCTTTTTTATTGAATGAATGGTTTTTGTGTTAAATGGGTGTGGATGCCCGTGGATGAATGGTGAATTAAAGTTGATGTGACGTGTAAAAATTATTAGTTGTTATTATTTAGTATATTGATAGTATTAAATATAATATGGTTGAGTTAGGTGTTGAATATAGATTGAGTATGAATAGAAAAAAATATAATTAAACACCCATGATCTAAAAAGCAGATAATCAAATTCTTCATGAAGAAAATTACCTTAAAATATTTCATTAATTTAGATTTGCAACATTTTATCGTGCCATTATTTTTTTTTTCTTTCCCTACTAATGACATTAGTAAGTAGTTCATGCGATGCACCGAAAATGTTAAATGACTCATTCTCATAGGGCCTATCCGTTTAGGCCATAAAAACAATAGATTTGTATCATCAATTTTCTACTTTTTTTAATCAGTATTTTTTTAACTATAAATTTGATTTTAGTATATATATTTATTTCTTGATATAAGAAAATAATTTTGTTTTACTTATTTTTGTTCACCCATATAATACTCAGTTATTATTTTATTCTAAAATTTGTTGTTATATAATGTCATCATTATTATTTATAAAAATTATTGAATCAGCCGTCTTTTTTTTTTTCTTGTGTGAAAATTTTTTAATGTACGTCTTATTATTTATTAATGCAGTTGATTTAAAATTATGTAAATAAATATAAAATATCTTAACTGTAAACAATTTTGTTTCACATGAAATTTTTAAAATTTTGTTTTTTTTAATGGAATACCTTAACTGTAAAACAAAAAATAATTATTGATTGTGATGTAATCAACACAATAATTTTCTTAATTTTTCTATGTAATTTGTTTTTTAATTGTTACTCATTTGTATCTATCTATGAATATATATAATTGTTAAGACTCATTAATGCATACAAAAAATATTGCTCATTTTTTCAGTTAATTGTGGAATCAAAGTGTTTCATTTTATATTAATTAAGTATAATTATATTTTTAACTGTTTTATTATGAAATAATTAATATTAATATTGACTATGTAAATTTCAAACTAAATGATATATGAAAGTTACATACTTATAAAAAAAAAAAAAAAAATTATTGCACAACTTTTTCTTCAACTTACTTATTTAAAATTAATTTTGTTTTTCATCTCATCGATCAATCAATTTTTTCTTTAAAGTTAGATAACTGATTTTATAACCAAACCTTTTAAAATCACATAATAATTCTTATACCACTAATCATAAATTATTTTTAATATTTTTTACGTAATTAGTAATTGGTGATCATGATCCCTCACTTATTAAAATTTACATTACCCATTACATCCTATACCGTCAGATGATCTTATATAAGTTAATATTAAAATTCATATTGTTTATTTTTACTGAGTGTCAAAATTTTAAAACATGTTATCTTCATTATCTAACTTATAATTCTAAGCATTATATCCATAACATGAGTTACGTTCCCCTATCTACGGTGGACACATGTTAATATGTCAACCGCTTATGTAATATGCACATATTGGTGATGTTTTTTTTTAACATATTTTTTTTTTTTTTGATACAGGGACCTTCCGGTTTCTGGATCCACAAGGCAACCGACTAATCCGAAATCGAGCGGGTAGGACCACAAGAGCGGCAAAGCTCTCCCTCAAGAGTTTTAACACTGCTGCATTCCCAGGGCTCGAATTCGAGACCACTGGTTAAGCTGGAAAAGACCCAAGCCATCTCATCCAAGCGCTCTTGGGTATCTTTTTTTTTTTTGAACATATTAACATCACCAATGAGTGCATGCCACATAAACGGTGACATATTTAATGTACCTATCGTGGGTAGCGGAACATTACTTTCCCTAACACATCCCATATATAATGTTTTGTTTGCATATGTGCGTATAAGGATGTTAAATTAATTAGTCCAAAGTTGTAGTCATTATGGAAGATTCTACTGTCCCGTCACATAATCATTTTGTCGTGGTTTGTAACCGTACATGATGATATAACAGTTACAAATTTCGACAGAATGATTTCGTAACGGGAATGTAATATTTCTCAATTATTATTATTATTATTTTGGATTTTGACATAATTTACCATTAAAAAAAAAAAATGAAAAAGCAAAAGTGAATATTAAATTTGAAGATGTAAAGTCGTGTCTCTATTTTATTGTCTTTTTCAAACACGCTTCTTCCTGGTTTGTCCTCGCATTATCCGCCAACAAATTATTATTTATGCTGCTGTATTTGGAGCAGCAAGTGAAAATGGCGTCAAGAGAGAGAAAAAAAAAAAAAATGGCGTTAGGAGAGAGAAAATAAACGCAGAGAATCTTGAAAAATCGTCTTCTCCTACCCACCATTTTCGAAGTTTTCTCCAAATCACGGTCTCCTCACCTCTCCACCATTTCTGGGCTGTCATCTCATTTTCCTCCCTCCACGTCTGTATCTTCACCTCGCCACACACACACACACACACACACGCACACTATATATATATATATACAGAGATGGGTTTTCCATTTCCAATTTTCCATTTATTTTCCGCGCTTCCCGCGTTTTCTTCTCCTCGCCCAACCACCAAAACCTACGCCGATGGTGTTAACAAAGTCAGATTGCGAGCTCCATTGCGCGTGTTGAGTTGATGCAATGGAGATTTGATCAATTTCGCTCATTCTCCGTGAACCTAAACATTCTCGGACGACCCCCTGTGCTCATGATTGATTGTTCAATCATTAGGGTGAGTGCATCGTGTTTTGTTTCAGCTTTTGGATTTGAAATCATTTGGGGAATTTTTAGGGTGTTTTTGAGTTTGAATTGTGTCGATATTCTGCCTTATTTGGATATTCATCGTATTTGTGCTGAGCTTTTGTCTATGAATTCTTTGGTGGAACCTGAAATTCTTTGGTTTGGTTGAGTTATTAATGGTGAGATTGCCTTTAGACGTGTTCTGGATTAATTGAATTTGATATCTATGGTTGCCTTACAATGTTAATGTCGAATAATCGATTAGGAACACGATTGAAGATGGTATAGCTTGTAAAGATACTTGTGAATTTGTATTATCTTTGTTTGTGCATAGGCTGAAATTTGAAATAATATGGAGACATATGATGTCTTGATAAAGGAGGGATAAGTTCTTTGTCATTTTTTTTGGTAGTTTGGTTTTATGTAGATATCCATGTGTTCGTATATACTACATAAGGCATGAAGTGGCTACAGAAGGCATCAATGTGGATTTTGTTTTTTGTTATCATCCTTCAAATTCCTGCATGTGTTTCTTGATGCCCTGTAAATTGTTATGGTGTGTAGTGTATTAGATTGATGCTAATAATTTTATTCTTATCTAAAAGCGTAGATGAATAACAAGCCGTCGGGCAAAAATTTGAGCTGAGCGAGATGGATTCGGCTTCTGCCCAAACTTCCACAACATCAGTTTCAAACGCATCCAATAATAATAAGCTGAAGAAATCCAATCTCCTCGCGAAAAGAAGCTCCAATCTCGACCACATTTCACCATGCAAACCCATAACTGTGGACCTCACCACAAATCACAAATCACCGAGTGAATTCAAGAAAAACGAGCCAACAGTCCCATGCCCGGTCCCCACGCCCAGAACACTCACGAACCACGATTATTACCTCACGAGCAGCAGCACATCGCGAACCGTGTCGTCTGCAATGTCGCCCGGCCTAAGAACACCGAGCGGCCAGTCGAGCCCAAACAACAACACCCGGACGAGTGGAATCAGCTCCCGAAGCAACAGCCTGGACAGCACGTGCAGCGGGACCCTCAAGCCCCACACGGGCGGGGACTTCAGGTGGGATGCCATAACTTGTGCCTCTTCGAAAGATTCTCCTCTAGGCCTCAGCAATTTTCGCCTCCTGAAGAGGCTTGGCTACGGAGATATCGGATGCGTGTACCTTGTTGAGCTCAGGGGAGCTAATGCCTTCTTTGCGATGAAGGTTATGGATAAAGGCTCGCTTGCCAGTAGAAATAAGCTGCTTAGAGCTCAGACGGAAAGGGAGATTCTGGGTCTTCTCGATCATCCTTTTCTACCCACCTTGTATTCTTATTTCGAGACGGATAAGTTTTATTGTTTGGTTATGGAGTACTGCAGTGGAGGTAACTTGCATGCTCTGAGGCAAAAGCAGCCCAATAAGCACTTTACAGAGGAAGCTGCTAGGTAAGTGGTTACGTTAATTATACTTTTTGTTTGATGCATTTAGTGGTAGTAAAATTAGAGTTTGGTGTTTCGATTTGAATGAATTTGCCATGATCACTTTTTCTTATATTCTGAATTTTGAGGAGCTAAGATAGATTCTCTCACATGATGTGCTGATCATTGGCTAGATCATCCTATTTTGTTTCTTCAGGTTTACATGTTCAGCTATGGGCTAATTGATTCTGAAAAGTATGTTTGTTGATATCATTTGAAGCCGTTGTACGGATTTTGATGTGCTTTAAAGTTTGAAGTGTCTAAATAAAACATGATTTTTTCAAATATTTTTGGTGCTACATACTAACTGCTTAGAATGTATGCTTTAAAGTTTGAAGTGTCTAAATAAAACATGATTTTTTCAAATATTTTTGGTGCTACATACTAACTGCTTAGAATGTAACAATCGCACATCTCTTGAACTTTGAATTAATCTGGACATTTACTGTGATGGGAAATTTAGATAGGTGTTTTACAGCCACACCCTGAAGTTTGCATAGAAAGAGATGATGAAAATTGGCATCCTTTTCCGAACATGAAAAGCATTTTCGAAATTAACCCTGATTACAGCATCGTTATGCTATATTTATGCTTGAATTCTGCAATACCAAAGACATTATGCCAATGAACATCTCTTTTCATCACCTTTTTCGATATGGATACTTAGCAATCTCTCTCTTTCATCCAACAGCATTATGTTATGTCACTCCTAATCTGAGCTAAAGCTTATATGCAAATTCCGAAAAAAAATAAAAAA